ATTTACTTTATAGATAAAACTTATAGTGATTACATGTTATATTTTTTTATATATTGTATATATTTTTTTTATATCATTTTCAAAATGGTAGAGCAAAATGAACATTTTGGTTCATTTTATTATTTCAATTAAGGTGAAAAAGCAGTTCAAGATGCATTGCAGATCAACTGGGATTCATAAAGACAAAGTAAAAGCTTTGATTGGTGCTAAAGCTAAACACATCTAAAACAACTATTGACAATCATTTGAAATATTGGATAAAAGAAAAAACTTGATGTTTGGATTCAACCTTCCAACCTTTTCTTTTTTAAACCTTGAGATTCATTAAAAAAACCTTGAGACACACAAAAGCTAGATACGCGTAATTAATTTTTAAAAAAGTCCTTTTTTAAAACAAGAAAAATTTAAAAAGTATGATAAGTTATTTGATAAATAAATAATTTGTTTTTATTCATTATGTTTAGAATTGCAAATCTATGTTGCTTTTATTTGAAGGTTTTCAACAGTTATTCAGGCAGTTTCCTTTTTTTTTTTTTTTCTAATGCTAAACAACCTTTCCAATTAAGCATTACTATGAGGAATATTATTCCTAAAGTACCTGAAATTTTTTTTAATGATATTGAAGGCAAATTTTTGTTTCATAAAAGAATGGACATTTTCAAGTAATTTTATAAATGATTATTCCAAATACTTTAGCTAAACTTTTTAAATTGCTAACATAATTAGCTGAAATTGTCTTTATTAATCAATAATAATCACTAAAATTATTAGTTAATAAATATTTAATTAAAAATCCTATCAAATACCTCCTTAAAAGCATTATCATCAAAATCATTGCTCTAACCGGGTAATCTGTGCACCATGTTAAGCTAAATTTGCTCTTATATTTTTGCTTTATTGTCATTTTTTAAAATTCGAATTTCAATTATAATATAAACAAACCCATGTTTAAAGCTATATGTTGTGCCGGTTTTATGATCTATCATGTGCACTTAATTTTCATTAGTTTTTGTTGTGACGACAAACTTTTTTGGAATTTATATTGTTTTGAGCAAGAGGAAATTTAAACAAAAATTCTTTTAAAAATCTTAAATTTTACCATGAGAATTTTGGATTAACTGTGAGACTGAGATTTGTTATCAAATCGCCAATTTTACAGTAAAACTTGAGAGTTAAAAGGTCTTTTGGATTTCAGATGAACTCATAGAAGTTTATTTAATGCAACATATCAACATATTAGATATGCCTTTAAAATAGAATCAGTATTATCTATTTTGGATTGTGTACTTTAATATTTAAATTAAAAAAATAATTGAGAGTCATCTCAATCAACAACAAAAGCTGATGTTTATCAAAAAAAGTTTGTGTTGTCAGTATGGTGGGATTGTAAGGGAGTTATAAACAATCAACTTTATTGTATACTGTGAATATCTAACAAAGTTAAATAAATCCTTGCAACGAAAACGGCTAAAGTTAGTAACAAATAATCAATAATTAATAACAAATAACAATAATTCGTACAAGGGTGTTGCCATTATAATGCACAACCACAAACAATTTTACTTGCCAAAAATTATTGGTAATTAGCTAAAACATACTACTTCACTTACCCTGGTTTTGCGCTAATATCATTTGCTTCAAAAGATCAGAAGTTTTATTAATCAGGCAATTGAAATTACCAGAAAGAAAACTCATAAAACATAAACTGTCAATATTAAGAAAAATCTTTATCAAGTCAACCCAAAGGACTTTCTGGACGACCCAATAGTTTACTTTTCCCAAATATAAAAGAAAATATTATATATATATATATATATATATATATATATATATATATATATATATATATATATATATATATAAAACAATTATTTATAAATTTTAAAAGCATATTTGTCTAATTTTTTGTATAGTTATATAGTGCAAAAAATTCTCTATAAAGTTTTTAAAAACAGTACAAAGTTTCAAAAGTAAAAAATTTATTTATTTTTGTTAATTTTTTTATTTTAGATGTGCCAATATATAAATTTGTTATATCACAATTTGATATGATTGTAAGAAGTTTAGATTGGGAAAACTATGTTAAAAAAATTATTGAAGAAGGAGTTAGTATAATAGCTGTTGAAGAAAAAACGAATAACTTAGTTGGATTCTATATCAACTCTATTATAGATTTGCAAAGGTTAATTAAAAAAATTTTTTTTTTTTCATAATTTTAATCAAACAGGATTTAATGAAGATTAACTAAGTTTGTTTATTTTTTAATGTATGTTTTTGAAAATATTAAAACATTTGATAAAAAAAATAAAATAAAAACAATGATAGACTTTATGAATTACTCTTTCCTACCTAATTGTAGTTGGGGGGGGGGGGGGTCTATTAGTTAGGGGGAGTAGACACAACAGTAAAAGTTTCTCTCAAGTTTAGAGATTTTCTCTCCCCCTCCTTCTAAAATTAGACAATTAGGTAGGGAAGAGTATCCTTTCAAAGGAAAGTCTAAAGTTTAAAAAATTTCATTTTTTTTAACTTTTTTTAAACTTTTATGAAGAAAATTAGTATGGGCTTATGTGTAACTTTATTTTATTATTTGAAGATTATCAAAAGTTATAAAAAAAGTATAGTAGAGTTGCGCAATTTATGAGCTGCAACAAATTTATAAAAGAAGTCAAATATTGGTACTAGGTAAAGTGATGACAGTTAAATAATAAAATGTGAACTTTTTTTCAAACCATTACCTTTTTAGTAAATAATTGATGATGTATTAATTAAATAGCCATTTTTAAGACTAAAATCAGTCAATTGACTGATTTTAGTTTTATATATATATTTTATATACTGATTTTATATATAAAAAAGTGAAAAAAACTCAAAACTATAACATGAGAATATAAAGTAATAATACCATATTTAATGCATCAATAATTTGGTATTTAGGCATAATCTGTAGCAAGTAAAAGGCAAACTACACTTTAGTAATGTAGTCAATAAAAGTAAAAAAAAAAAAGAATGCATATTTATATTGATATAAATTTATATTGATATAAATATGCATTCTTTTTTTTTTTTACTTTTATTGACTACAATACTAAAGTGTAGTTTGCCTTTTACTTGCTACAGATTATGACTAAATACCAAATTATTGATGCATTAAATATGGTATTATTACTTTATATTCTCATGTTATAGTTTTGAGTTTTTTTCACTTTTTTATATATTTCTACTTAATATGTTATTTAATTTATTTAGCTTAGAGTCTAATATCTGTTAATTTTGAATAATTTAAATTTTTCTTGTAATTAAAAAAATTTAATGAAAATATAAATATTTAACCAGAGTTTAAAGTTGAATATTTTTTGATTTTTATAAGACTAAGTTCATATTAATCCATAGCGTTCATAAAAACAAAGAACAAAAAATAAATGAAATTTTTTTTCAAGTTGCTCATGAAACTAACCTAAGTATAATTGTATAATAACCTAACTATTGTTTTCCATACATATTTGAGAGCTAGGCAAATATGTATGATATTTCCACATTTAAGCATTTCCACAATGGAATCACAATTAGTAGTAGTCAAAAATAGTATTAGTAGGTATTGGTAGAGTGCTCGCCTCATAAGCAAAAAGTTCTGAGTTCAATCCCCACCACATCCCTGGTAGTACCGTGCTCAACACAGCAGCCTTGTTTGTCAAGGTTCGTGTTTTGGAGTTATAAAGTAGAGGGAGGGTTGTAACCATAAAAGTAGCCTCCTTGACTGTAGTGGCCTTCTCGGTCTTGGAGAGATGAATAATTTAATGTTAAAATTTAAAATGTGACAAGGTCATGTGTTTAATTTGTATGATTCATATGCAGGCCCCCTCGACTCTATGAAGCATGTGGTAAAAATTTTAGTTATTATTTACATAGATTATTTACTGTTTGTTGTCTTTTATATAGCTTAAAGTCTCTTATTTGTTGAATTAGAGTATTGAGAGCAGTATTGAGTACGATAACCTTTAACTGCTTCACTTTATTTTTGTGGAAATAAACTTTTTTTTTTTCAGTTTTGTGAAAGGTCTTTCTCTTTATTGCCCTCATTTGAAACAAGTCTGATTGAAAACTTCATTAATGAATTTCATAGGATTTATCTCAACATCTAAGAAAAGGTTTTGTGATTGAAGTGAGATGCTGACATTTTATTGCTTGAATAGCATTGAACCAAAGTTTTCCTAGGTCACTCAACCAATGACTTCACAACCTCAATGTGTGCACAATTTGATGAAGAGACAAACCAGTCTTCTTAGGAAAAAAATGTTACCAAATATGGCTTTTACTAAAAAGATTGTAGAGTAACTGAACCTGACTAGATAATTCTTCACAAGGTTATGGTTATGAGCACTGCATGGTATATAAAGAGTGTGAGAATATAATCACTTGTAATCTTTTGGACACTTCAGACATGTTGGCTCTGTTGTCGTATCTTGGACCTCTGCAGTTTTTTAAAATGATGTCATTTTGATCAAAAATGTCCATAATTACCTTGGCAATGACATTTCTTTTTTTTTTTTATGAGAACAAATATGGTTTGCTTAGTATAAGAAATTTCAGGATTTCCGTCAACGAAAATGGTATTGTAAATGGCTGTATGAGCCTCTTTGATGGTGGCGTCATGGACGATTCCTTTGCACTCTTTAATAAATTCATTTTGAGAACTCTAACCCAAATAATGAGCATAAATTTTTTTATATACTTATCGGCAGTGGATAACTTCTTTTTAGTGTAAATGAAAGGGATTTTCTTGTTTTTTATAAAGCAACTCTTTAAATATTTTTCATGCAACTTCTTTGACTAGTCTTCGGCTCCCGCGTATAAATTTGGCTAATTCTATATTGTTGACTACTACTACTACATCTAATTAATAGTGGGCTGATTGGGTAACCAAGTAACTTGAATTTAAAACAAGAAGCCTAACAAACGAAATCATTAATGCTTTATCAATCTATTTTATTTGAAAAAAAAGATTTAAGCACTGTGTGCCCCTTCTGATCGTGCACCTCAATACATGTGCAGGATCAGAAGGGTATCTAGAGGCCCCCCCTTTCTTTTTGGTGGTTATGTTCATATGATACCCACATCTAATTTTTTAACATAGATTATACCACATTAAGTATCATAATTATGTTAATTTTCATATACCCGGATTAACCAGGTCATTTTTGAAAAAAAAATCAAACCTTAAAAATGCAAGATAATAAATATAATTTTGTGTACTATGAATAGTTAATATTAGTTCAGTTTTCAGTTTAGGAACATTTTGTTTTGATATGTAGTTATTTTAGTAAATGGTTGATCAGTTAAGTTTTGATTTCTTAAAATAATACTTTAAAAACACAAAACCACTGAGAGTTTTGGCATTCAATCTGGAATGTATTTTTGTAGAAAAAATTTCTTGCAATGGAAAAAACTTTTTCCCAATCCACTAATGTAGACTTAATGGCAAGAAGGGCTTTGTATAATTGTTCCAAGTTATTTGTTCTCTTCCCCTTTCCTTCAATAATTTTCAGCTCTTTTTTGACTTGCAATAATTTGTGGATTTGTTTCGGTAGTGCTTAAAATGTCAACCACGAGTTATGAAGAGTGTCTTCACCAAAAGATGCATCTTTCTCTGGTGCTATTACTTCAACTTCAACGGGCATTTTTGATTCGGGTTCACAAAATAAGCATTTATATATTTGTTTTGCAATTAATTTTACATTATATTTAGATGAATACAATAAAAATTTATTTGTTTGCGGATATTGGCCATTGTGAAAGAATATCAGTAGAAAAACTTTAGATGTGTTTTGGCATTGATTGATTTCTTTATTCAGCTTGGTATACATATTTAGAGCCAAAGGTGTGCCAATTTTTTTTTAATTTATCGAAAACCAAAATCATTGTTCAGTTAAGAAATAATCAAATTTGCCTCTTATTTACTTCATTTAATCACAGCTTCTGCTAAAGGTTCCAATATAGCTACAAGCTCTTTAAGACATGAAATATGGTCACCAGATGGAACCATTGCATCTAGTTCCTCTTAAGTCATATTGATAAAGTCGCATAATAACTTGAAACAATTTATTATATCAATCAATAAATTTTAGCCCATATGACAATAATCTAATAATAAGTTCAAATTTTTATCTTGCTTATCAACAACATTTTTTTGCAGAATGCTGTTTTGAACTGTTCCTTAAAAATTTACATATTTTTCTTGTTTCTATCATCACGCTGTTTATATCTACGGTTAGTTCCAATATTTCTTCTTTTAAGTTCTGGTTCTCAATAAAGTTTATATTTGTATCGCTCAAAAAATATTCATCAATATTGGAATTTAAGTATTTGTTATCTTCATCATCATAATTTTCAGAAAATTCTTGTTATGTTATTTGATTGGGCCTGCAAAGTTTTTTAAATAATACACTTAGCACTTTCAAATGAATTGCATTTTTGTAACACAGTTAGTTTATTGGGTCAATTTCATTACCCTATTTAACCATCACAGGTGTGCCGTCATGTGTTGATGCAACAACGTCAGATTTTAAATTCAACCCATACATATTCAATGTAGATTATGGGTCATTCCATATGAAATCATCCAGACCATGACACCCTTATATCTCAGAATTTGTTCATTTTTACCTTACTTGCAGTCCATATTAACAAATTAATAAATGCAAAAATTTTAGTTAAAAATACACATGGGTTCCAGAGATATTGTCAGTTGAAATAATGCTGACTCAGCATTTTAGTGATTATCTGAAGCGACTACAAAGCAACTTTGACATGTAGTATCTTCATGATGGCATGGGGAAATTTCCTAAAATTTGGTATCCCATTAGATTCTTACTCAAGGAATCTAAAAATAGCACCCTCAAGACTCATTTGTCTTGGGAAATGCCTTGTTTATCCAACTTTGTTCAAAATTATTGACTTAAAAATTCATGGTTTTTGGAGGTAAAATGAAGACTGTTGCCCAAAATCCTGAGTAAAAAGTTTAATTGTATATCATTATTTTATCTTAGGTCTACTGAAAAAAAATTAGATTTATCATTTGTCTCTCCAATACTTAATCAAAATTTGTGTTTAAAAATTGTCTTTTTAGAAAAATTTAAATTTTGTAACAAAAGCAATCGAAATGTTTTTTAAAACATTTATTTGAAT